TGAAACACAGTATAGCTCTAAAACATGGACTAGTGAGAGTTGTGTGAGAGTCTGGGCTGATGGAGGGCACTGAGAGAAGTGACAGAGGAAGGTTCAACGGATCTCAATGACTGAACAGAGAGATGGGGGAGGAGAGAAAGGGGAGAAACTAGGCAGCTATAGACCTGTTACTAAATATTTCCTCATGTATAAAATGGTGATGAGTACCTACCTCTTGGGATTATTATGAAAACCAAAGTGCACAAGTGTCTGGTACATAGTAAGCTCCACAAGAGTGCTTGTTCCTTATAGCAGGGGTCCCCAACCCCTGGGCCACTGACCACTACCGGTCAGTGGCCTGTTAGGAACTGGGCTGCATAGCAGGAGGTGAACAGCGAGCAAGCTCTGCCTCTTTTCAGATCAGCAGTGGCATTAGATTCTCATAAGAGCACACACCCTATTGTGAACTGAGTGTGGGAGGGATCTAGGTTGTACACTCCTTTTGAGAATCTAATGCCTGATGATCTGAGGTGGAACAGTTTCATCTGGAAACTATTACCCATCCATAGAAAACTTGTCTTCCACAAAAAGAGTCCTTGGTGCCAAAAAGGCTGGGGACCACTGACTTAGAGAACTCACTGTGAGGGACATGTTTTGGGAAAAAGGTAGAATCTTATCTGGACATGTTGAATGCAGGAGCTTATGGGACCTTGCCCTTAGGCAGGCAATGCATTAGGCACTTGGAACTTTGGCTCAAGATTTGATATGGTTAGCCTCTATGTCCCCACCCAAATCTCACCTTAAACCGTAATAGTCCCTATGTGTCAGAGGTGGGATCAGGTAGAGATAATTGAATAATGAGGGCTGTTTCCCCCATGCTGTTCTCGTGATAGTGAGTTTTCACGAGATCTGATTTTATAAGGTGTTTTCCCGCTTCACTTGGCACTCATCCTGTGAAGAGGTGTCTTCTGCCATGACTGTAAGTTTCCTGAGGCCTCTCCATCCATGCAGAACTGTGAATCAGTTAAACCTCTTTTCTTTATAAATCACCCAGCCTCAGGTATTTCCTCATAACAGCGTGAGAATGGACTAATACAAGGTCTAAACAGAGACTCAGATTTTATGGGTGGGAGTTGCCTCCAGAGGAATGGGTAAACTTGCTTAAAAATACTGTGCAAATAAAAAGAGGACCAAGGAAGGTGTCATGAGGGACAACATATTACGGAAGGCAGAGGCAGAAGTTTTAAAGAAGCAGACTAAGATGGTTTGTCTGAAAAGTATGAGAGCCAGGAACAAGTGGTGTCAAGTCAAAGAAGCCAAGAGATGCTGGGTGCAGTGGCTCATGCCTGTAATTCCAGCTACTCGGGAGGCTGAGGCAAGAGGATTACTTAAGCCTGGAGGGTCGAAGCTGCAGTGAGCTATGATCATACCACTACACTCCAGTCTGGGTGACAAAAACAGTCTTTCTTTAAAAAAAAAAAAAAAAAAAAAAATTGGGGGAAGCCCCATGGAATGCTTCAGAGGTAAATTAAGGAAGATAAGGACTAAAAAGTCCTAATCTCTTTCTGTGATCCTGTGGGTCATAAAAATAAAGGCTCACATTTTAAGAGTTGAAGCATAGGAAAGTAAGACAGGAAGAACCTAACATCGGGGTGGGCAGGGCACAAAAATGGCAAGAGATTCAGGAGGAAATTATGGGTAACACGCCCAACAGGTGGCGCCAAATGCCCTCAGTGGTAGTCTACAAGAGCCTCAGAACCCCTCCCTCTTCGGCAAGACTCGCTGGAGGGAGCTCCATTCAAATCTGCCAGTCACCCAGGTGGCACTCCTTTAGTCAACAAAATATCAAGCTTCCACTATTGGAAAAGTTCTGTGCTAGGGACTCGGAGAGGTGTGTATCTGCATGTGCACGTGTGCTCTGTTGTTCCTTTAGTGTGTGGAGATAAGAACCTTTAGAGAGTAAGTCCCACCTATTTTATCTCCTACGTAGCTCTCAAATCTATCTACATTTCGGCCTCTCTACAACACTTTTTTTTTTTTTTTTTTTTTTTAATTTATTGGATTGGTGCAAACGTATGTACAACACTATTCCCACTTGCTGGGATTAATTGCTGCAGTTGCTTTCTAAATTACCCACTCTCAACACCCTACCAACCCTAACATGATTGCCCCTAGTGCAATTTCCTTAAAGCATGTCTATCTCCTAGCTCCCTACTGGTCCACAGCACTGGAAGTCTAGTGCAGTAGTTACAAACGTGGACCCTGAAGCCAGATTGCCTAGTTTCAAATCCCACCTCCAGCACTCACTGACAATGTTGTGATGTTGGGCAAATTGATTAAATCTCTCTGTGCCTCAGTTCTTCATCTGTTAAATGCAGACAAGATCTACCTCACCAGATTATAGTGAGGACCAAATGAGTTTACAGGGTAAGTTTTTAGCACAGTGCATGGGACACAGTAAGTGCTCAATAAGTGTTGCCTATTAGTCTTTGAGTGTAAATTCAAGTCCTTATCTGAGGTGAAATGCTCTCCTTGATCTAGCGTCCCTACTTTCTGGCCTTATCTGGAAGCACTCACCTTCATCCTTACTGCTTCAACACCACCTACAGTTACCTTCTCAGTTGTTTCTTCTGCTGGCAATGTTCACTACTCCCTGCTCCCACCCATCCACCCTTTAAAAACAGGAAAGAACTCTTCCATCTGAGATATTTGAATAGATATCACATTAGACCAGAGAACCCTCTGTTCTAAATTCTTGCTAGATCTCTGCACATTGTCCTATTACTTAAAAAATCGTGACTAGTTGTCTAATGCCCCTTTCCCCAATCCATATAAATTCTGAGAGCAAGGAGCTGTCGTCTCATTCAGTGCTAGAGACCAACTAGTGAGATCCTGTGAACATCTTTAAGGTGACGACCCAGAAAAAAATGAAATCATGGTGACATCAGTTCCATGCTACCATTCCCACATTTCCTTCACAACTATCACAGCCACTCTCTAGTTGCTCAGGAAAATCTTCTTCCAGTTTTGCACTAAGCCCCAGAGAGTAACACCAGTCAGCTCTGGTCCTTGTCCTGGAGTCCTTCATATTGGTCACTCATGGAAGCAGGGCCTTCCAATCAAGATATCCCGAGTGAACCTAAGAGCGGCAGTTTGGGAAGGTTCCAGGCAGGCTGGAACTGGGGTCCACAGTAAGGATAGTCTGTGAAGACCAAGTCATGCCTGTATCTTGGATTCAATCCGTATAATCACCACACCGTGATGGTTAATTGCACTCTATTTGTGCTAAGCAAACTCCATGATAAGGCCTTGTCTTCTCATCTTCACCTTATACTTTCTGAGTTGGCAATGTACAGGTCTATGGGCCTAAGGTTGCTGAAAAGGCAATCAAGGGAACTCAATAAATATGTGACTGAGTAAATAAGACCAGACTCTCACCTCTCCACGCCAACAAAAAGCTTCCTATAGAATGCAATAAAAGGGAGTAAATGGCAGCATGAGGGGACAGGGTAAAAGCAGTAGCAATATAACCCAGATTCCAAGAGCTGAAAAGAGAATGGGGTAAATAATGCCCACAGGACTTCCCAGCTAGTCCTTTGTGCTGGAGACTGTTATTTTGGACTGAAGTCCCTTGGCAACCAAGATGGAACTCAACTCCTGAAACAATTACAATGTCTAAAGGAGGTAGGCTTGAAATAAGTTCAAAATTAAAGTCAACCTCAAGACAGACTGGTCCAGTTGGTAGGAGGCAGGTTTGAAACCCAGGTCAGCTAGGTTGGCAATCAACGGGATGGGCCAGGCCTTTTCTATCTCTTAAAGCACTTTGGGTTGGTCTGGGTTCAATTTATAGGGAATTAAGTACTAATAGGCCTCCAAAGTCAGGTTGAAATTTTTATTTTTCCATACTACAGAAAACAAATCTTGAGTTTTGAGTACATGAGGAGGGGCTGCAGTCAGACCAAATATTCTATAATGAGCCTCCTCCCAAAACTAATCCAACTCAATCCTTACATTCCCTCTAAAATGAGACATACTCCTTGATAGACATGCACTTAGCTTAAATCTATTTACTCTGATTTTCAGAACTTTGTAATTTGTACCCCATCACAAGTCTCTATTAAGTACTTATAAATCCTCAACATCTACTCTTCTCAAAAAGGGACCAAGCTCAATGAGAGCTGAAGAGCTTTCATTGGTGTACACAAGTAAGCAAAAAAGCCCAAACATTTGTTCCCCTTTAAAACTTAATGCTTTTGAAAATTGATGCTCAAGCCCCAATTTAATTGGAATTCCTAAAGAGGGTTGAGAATCACTAGTAAAATTTATTGCTTCCAAAATCCACCCTAGTTTGTTTCCAGTGTCATTTATGGCAGAATAAACCGTTTCACTACATTCCTGATCCTAGTTTTCAGGTCCCTAATTCAGGTTTCCTACTATTGTCCACTATATTAAACCAAATGTCTCTTTTCCAGTATTTTTTTTTTTTTTTTGAGACGGCAGTCTCCGTCACCCAGGCTGGAGTGCAGTGGTGTGATCTCAGGTCAGTGCAACCTCCACCTCCCTCCTGGCTTCAAAAAACTCCCCTGCCTCAGCCTCCTGAGTAGCTGTGATTACACGCATCTGCCACCATGCACAGCTAATTCCAGAATGGAATCCTAACCCCCTCAACTTTTTATACCACCTTTCTCTCCCCTTAGCAAGGCAAGGGGATAATGCATATAGTTTTGACTTAAATTTCATTAATTCTTAGAATACTCTGTAAATTTGCAATGTGTGACCATAGCAGCAAAATATAACAAAGTAGGTGTGACTGCCTTTTAAATCAATAAACCCAACACATACGTACTTACAACCTTTGGCTGTCTTAAGTCTGCTCAGGAGAAAATTCACACATCCAGTGCCACTGTGAAAACCTAAAGCCTACCTCAAAATTTTGAATTCTTGACTGAAGCATGGATAAACCAGAGAGCTTTTTTCATTTAATTATAGACCTAAAGATTACTTCTAAGGACTCAGTTTACAAAATCAGATGGATTTACTTTATTAAAAACACAACAAAAGCCTGCTTTGTTTAAATATTAAGACGATCCAATTATAGGATAGCTATTGCTTTTTCTCATTGCCAGAGTATTTTCTCCAAAATTATCACGGCAGTTCTGATCACGTTCCTTTTGAAACACTACAAACGCCAGTGTTATTAAGGTAACTCAAAACTTGAATAATATTTTCTTTATTTACAAGTTAGAATCAACAAAGACAGTCCAGGGGACCAAATGGGGAGATGACTGAAACCCCCAGGGCCCCAAATGGAGCGAAGGAAAAAGGGAAAACAGTAGAAAAAAAAAGTCAACGTAAAAAAAAGAGCTCCCCCTTCTTCCCTCCCCATGGAGGCTGAGGGGACCAAGGCCCCACCCTCCCAGCATTACCTAGCTTAAAATAAATTAGAACAACCAACCTCAAAACAGGGCCCTTAGAAGTCAACAGGGCAGCTATGGCCTTACATAACTCCAGATCAGAGGCTTTGCACACTTCCACCCTATACCCCCTTGCCCTGCCCCAGTCATTTTGAATGGGGGATCTATGTCCAAGAAATCACTCCCCAATGGGGCCTCATGAGAATTCCATCTTATTTTGTCCATATCCCTCCTTCAGTAAATGTCCCTGCACCCCCCCCCCCCCACTGCAGAGCCAGCTCTCCTAGACGAGGGCAGGGGGGTGAGATGAAGTCACAGCAAAGGGGAAAAGGGTGGGTGGGGCAGGGTGATCTAGGGGTCCGGTCCTGCGGAGCCTTCCTGCCCCATCTGGCCTGGCCCCTTAGCCTGAGTCTGAATCACTGGTGTCTGAAGACGATGACGATGAAGAGGAGGAGCTGGAATCTGAGCTGGAGCTGGAAGCACTGAGGCGTGATACTACTACTTGCTGTGCAGAGGATGACTCTGTTTTCTCACTTGCTGCAGAACAAAGTTGAAAGTTAAAGACTTTGTCAATAAGAAAGATGGTCAAGGCGGCAGGGCACAGTCAATCTCTATTGGCCTAAAAGTATATACTCACCTTTCTTGGGGGGCTTTTTAGTGGAATTGAGCTGTCCGCTGACATCTTGTAACCGCTTTTCTAATTCCCGCTTTTTCTCCAAAGCCAGTTCTTCCTTTGTCTTTCCCACAGGCTTCTTAATGGCTAATAAAAGAAATTTACCAGGATACATTAGGATTGCCCCAAGCATTCTATTATGGACCTCTAGGTTGCCAAGTTCCTTTCCTGAGTATCAGGAGCCAACCAACACATCCCATTATCCTGGGAGCTGATAATCTTGAATGCAAACAGATTCTACCATCTTTTCTAAACTGTCCTCAGAACCAGATAAGCTGAACCTCATTTCATACTTACTGTAGGGCTTCCGGGGTTTCTTACGTAGGCAGGAAAGGACATAGCGCTCAAGCTCTCTAAGTGTGGATGGCTTGAGTGTTTCGAAATCAATCTCAATCTCTTCTGGGTTTGAATCACGTAAAGAGGGTTCCCTGGCTTGGATTATGTGCACAACTCGGCCCAGCTTCTCTCCAGGTAATTTGTTGATGTCCAGGCTCAGCTGCCGCTTTTCGTCGTAACTCATAGGCCTGCTCTCTTCCTCCTCCTCTGAATCATAACCCGTAGGCAGGGCAGGTGGAGCTGTCTTTGTGGCCTTTTTGGGGAGCCTATGGGCAAAAAAAGTTTCATTAGTCTCTCCCAATATGTTTGACTGTTTAATTCAGTGATCCTATTTCCTGCTCAGAATGCAGCTTCTGTTTTTCCATCAAGTCAGAGGTGGGCTACGGGGACACAGTATTAGTGAAACAGAGCATTATATAGAACTCTTACCTGCCAGGCATTTTATTGTATTTACTTTGGGCTTTCATGACAAACAGGCATACCTCAGCAATTGTGAGTCTGATTTCAGACCACTGCAAAAAGGTGAGTATCAAAATAAAGTGAGTCACACTTACTTGGTTATGTTTGCACTATGTTCTTGACTGTAAGTGGGCAACAGCATTACATCTTTAAAAAGATAATGCACATGCCTTAATGAAAAAATACTTTATTGCTAAAAATGTGATACAGAAACATGTTGGAATAAGTGTTGAAAGACTTACTCCATACAGAGTTGCCACAAATCTTCAATTAAAAAAATAGTAGTATCTAAAAAGCTCCATAAAGTGAAATACAATAAAACAGGGTACACCTGTTTAGTATACTGGCGTAGGTCTACCTTTTTGCTCCCTAAAGCACTATCAAACTACAACAAGTGCCAGGCACGATGGCTCACAACTGTAATCCCAGCATTTTGGGAGACCAAGGTGGAGGTGGATCACCTGAGGTCAGGAGTTTGAGATCAGCCTGCCCAACACAGCTAAACCCTGTCCCTACTAAAAATACAGAAGTTAGCTGGGCACTAAAAATGCAAAAATTAGCTGGATGTGGTGGTGCATGCCTGTAATCTTGGCTAATCAGGAGGCTGAGGCCAGAGAATGGCTTGAACCCAAGAAGCAGGTTGCATTAAGCTGAGATTGCACCACTCTCTCTAGCCTGGAGCCTCAAAACAAACCACCCACACACACCCCCCCACCCACCCACCCCCAAAGCTGCTACACCATGGAAATCAAGTCTAGACTCGTTTATTTAGACAGACAAACTATATGGCCCAGGGAACAAATATGGTCGTCTCTTGTCTTTGCAAAAAAAAATGTCTTACTGCAACACAGCCAGCTTCATTTGTTTACATACAGTTTATGGCTACTTTCACATTTCACTGTCAGAGTGGCTACGGAAGACCCTATGGCTCCCAAAACTAGGGGTCCCCAACCTCCAGAACAGTACTGGTCTGTGGCCTGCTACTGCGCCACACAGGAGATGAACAGCAGGCATGTGGGCGTCACTGCCTCCTGTCAGGTCAGCAGAGGCATTAGATTCTCATAGAAACACAAAACCCTGCTGTGAACTGCATGTGGGAGGGATCTAGGTTGGACGCTCCTTTTGAGAATCTAACGGCCCAATGATCTGAGGAGGAATGGTTTCATCCCAAAAACCATCCCCACTTAAACCCTGTCCTTGGAAAAATCCGTCTTTCATGTAACTGGTCCCTGGTGTCAAAAAGGTTGGGGAACCAATGCTCAAAGCATTGGTTATCTATATGGCCAGCCTCTATATGGCCAATATTTGTTAACTGGCCATATAGAGAAAACTTTGCAAGGAGAGATGGTACCCCTTAGAAAGAAATAGGCCAACTAGTCGCTGCTTCCTACTCTCACTTACTTGGTGCCACTTCCTCCAGAAGGTCCAAAGCCCGAAGGGCCTAAAGCAGCACTGCCACCTCCAATGCCACTTGCTTTCTTGGACTTCTTGGGCGGAGGTGGGCGGGGTGCTCGAGGCCCCTTGTCATCTTCATCGGCCCCAGCTCGTCCTCGATGCTTCTCTGCCTTCCGTTTCTTCTTTTTCTCTTTTTTCTCTCTTTTCCTCTTGGGCTTGGATATTGGACCCTGGGACAGAGCAGCCAGTTGTTCATGTACTGCCCGAAGCTAGAGGAAAAAAACATGAAGTGGGAAAAATAAACAAAGATAAAATAAGAAAAAATTAGGACAAAGGCAGGGTATGAACCTCTTACCCAGATGACAAAATACCTGTTCCTGCAGTTCTGCCAAACGATGAGCCCTTTCTTCCTCTGAGTCTGAGCTTTCACTCTCTTCTTCCTCATCCTCCTCATCTTCCTCCTCCTCTTCCTCAGAGGAGCTCTCACTGCTACTTTCCTCACTGGAGGACTCTGAAGATGATTTGGCCAAGCCAGGGGGAATGGCAGTAGAGACTGGTAAAGGCCCTGGTTCCAGTGGTTCATCTGGCATCTTGGCGTAACGGAACTCAAATACATCCTAGAAAGAAAGAGGCACAGACTCAATACTTTGCTGATAAACAGTGCCCTGCATACCCAGCCACCAAGTGATATAGCTCCAATTTACAACTGTACAGAATGGTGAGATCCTCATGCTGAGGCTATGCAGCACAGATGACAGATTAACTCCCCATACCATTTATTTTTCAAATGCCAACCTTTATACGCACCTGTAGCTTTCGTGCCATTGCCACAACATCGTGATCTGGGGGATTGTACTTATAGCAGTTAGAGAACATAAGCCGTACGTCAGCAGCAAACTCCTGTGCATCCCGGTAATCACGGTTCTCCATCTTCCGCTGCAGAAGGAGGCAGCCATCAGAAGCTGCACAGGCAGGAAGACTCACCTTTCCCTGCCAACCCCAGACACCACAAGAGGAGCCCTCTCTTGAGAGCACAGTGGGGATGACCTTAAGGATCTGTGCCCTGGGGTTCAAGTTTGAAGTCAAAGGAATTTGGGTGGGTTGAAGCAATATTTATGTCTAGAAAAAGAAATCATTTCTAAGTGACAGGGGAGGAGAGGTGGCCTATGACTATCTTTCCACCCCATACCTTCCTTAACCCAACACTACCACATAAGTCAGGCTTAATTATAGGCAGATAGTGTTGTTCAAGACAAACCCCACCCTATTGTTTCAAATTCCAGGAAACATGAATTCTTAAAACACCAGAACTTCTGCCCCACTACTAGTCCATAAAAGTAAAATACCAAGAACCTGAAGACTGCTGTGTGCCCACGTAAGGAGATTTGACTTATTGTTCTGATCCCTAAGCTCCCATCGCTACCCGACCATCCCATCTGCCCCATGCAGTGGGTACCTTGACAGTGCTGAGGTCCATGGGGTGCTTAATGATGTCATGGTAGTCATGCAGGCCAAGTGCAGAAGCGTCCACTGGTTTATAGAAAGGCCAAGCATAAGCAGCATGCTTCTTAGAGAGTAACTCCTTCAAAATGCCATTGCAATGTTTTAATTGTTCTGAAAGCTTTCCTTTCTTAGAGCTCTGGTGTTGTTGCTGAGAATCAGGCAAATCTTTGCGTGGGGGCTTGATGGGGCGACCACTCTCTCTGCGCATAGGGGGAAGCCGTGCTGCCTTAGGCTCAAGACTCCCAGGAGGGCTAGCTGGGGAACCAGGAGCCAGGATGGCTGTAGGCGTAGGGGTGGTAGTATCTGCTTTCCGCTTTACACCTTTTTTCTGCAGAAAGAAACAAGACAGGGACCTATTACTCCAGACCCACCTTACTTTAGACCCTTCCCTCCAGGCAGCCCAGAGGAAATCCACAGATCCATACCTTGGCAAGGGGCTGGGCTGGAGGAGCTGCAGTAACAGCAAGGAGTGGGGGTCCAGCAGAGTGCAGGGACTTCAAAAGTGGAGAGGAAATCACTGATGGGTGGGGAATGTTGAGGACAGTGGTAGGTATCTCAGGTGGCGGAGTATACAGGGCTGTGTGTGACACAGAAGAGACAGCAGGCACCTGATGGGCACTGGTAACACTGCCCTGGAGTGCTAGAAAAAACGCAAAAAGGAAGTTTAGTTTGATTCTCTTTCCCATCTTTAGGTGTCTGTTTGCAAAACCCCTACTCTTCCTACCTGCCAACTTGGCCCCCTTCTTGTGGCTATTCTTAGGGATGGTCACCACCAGCTCTTGTTCCTCTTGTGGCATTGATGCAACTTTCTGTAGGAAGATCTTTTCCAACGTTTGTGCCATTAGGACAATATCATCAGTGGGCTACAACAACACCACAGACAGCAATGAATAAAGTTGAAAAATGCCAACAGTAGATAGATATACACCATCTTTTTCAGAGGTATTCAGGCCCAAGAACATTACCATACCCCTGCAAGTAATCTGTTGTCATCAAATCTTGAAGAAAATTTCCTACTCCAGGCCACTAATTTCCACTTTCTTCTGTCTCCCAAAATCCAAAATAAGAAAAAAACTATATGACCCCTTAAAAAACAGAAAGGATTGAGAGCTCACAAGAAAACAGATCCCTTGTCTACTCAGGTCTCTGGAGCTTTCTAAGAAACAGGGCCACCACCTCCAAATATGAAGTGTTCTACTTAAATAACCTTTACTGAACCTCTGAAGTCACATCACTTCAGTAACATCTGCAGTCAGGTTTTTAAGACTGACTACCTGGATTGGATAACACACTGTGTAGAAAAGGATTTAAACTTTACTGCAGACAAAAATAATACCTAGCCATAATAAAAGTTACTGTTTCTCTCCACCTACTAAACGAACACAGAGAAACTCACCTTGTTGTAAATGTAACAGTTGGTGAACATGGTATTAAAATCTTGCATACACTCTGAGGCAGCCCAATAATAATTGTTTTCAAGTCTCCTCTTAATAGTACCCATATCCATAGGCTGTTTTATAATTTTGTGATAATCCTAAATAAACAAATGTTAGGTCAGAACCATAGACAAATACTTATAGGAAGACTACTGATTCCCCACTCACGCTCACACACACACCCTCTCTATGCATCAAAGAACAGTTACCCAAACTGCGGCCCCAGTTAAACTGTGGGACAAAAGAAAAAAAAAAAAAAAAAAAAAAAAAAAAAAAAAAAAAAAAAAAAAAAAAAAAAAACAAAAGAAAAAAAAAAAAAAAAAAGGATTCTTGACACCCACAGGGAGCCCCCTTGCTGCCTTTCTCTAACCACCCACCTCCCACCCACTCTGGAAACTTCCCATCCTGTGACATTACCTCTGGGGCTGGCTATCCATGGGCTGCATGAGGGAAAGGAAGAAGCTAAGAATTTTGGCCACCGTGGTCCTCTCCCAACCCGAGGTGGGAATCTGTAAAATGGAGCCAGGGCACAAAAGTTAAGGAAGGACACATGGAGGGCACAATGAAAGATGCCAAGATAGTTACAGCAAGCGGTCGGATCAATCACAAAGGGCCAAGAATCCAGAAATCTGGTGGCTACCTGCCCTACAGGGGAGAAATGGGAACTCCCTAGGGGCCGCAGCATCTACACTAAGCAGACCACCCCCATTCACACACATTCATGCGCATCCCATACCTCCCTACTCCAATGTCTCTACTCACCGGTAGACCCAGCTTGACAGCATCCACAGGCTGCCGGAATGGCCATGCAAACTGATGTTTCCACAAAGCCTTCATCACTACCTTATGTAGGTATTGCAGCTGGTTGGTAACTCGTCCTGGCTTTTTGGGATTGGACACCTCCGGCGGTGGTGGGTTGGCAGGAGTCAGTTGCAAAGCAGGAACCGAAGCCATTGTGGGGCTCTCAAATCCCTCATACAAGAGGGAAGGCTTTCGAATCCTTTTCCCTGGCGCTGCTGCTTCTGGGCCCAGCCCCAGCAACCCTGCATTCCCTTCCCCAGGGAGCCTGTAAAGAGGGGAAACAAAATTAGGGTAGTATCGTGCAAATCAGGAAAAAGTGCATTTGCACGACGGTCTGATGAATCCAGGTGCCGGCCGTAGTGAGATGGTTAAGCTTGTGCAAGTGCTTAAGCGGAAGCAATATCCAAACAATCTGCGGATCTTCAATCTGTGGCTCTTTTATTGCTGCCCCCGCCTTCATTTTATTAATATTTTTAGTATACCAAGCTAAATCCCACTTTCTAAAGTCTGATAAGCTCTATCTCTATTCTTTTTTATTGTTTAAAAAGTTCCAAGATGGTTTCTGATAGGGCACATCTCAGAACTACAGCCCTATGGGGATGGGGCTTAAAAATGGGTGGAGCTTCCTCCTCACTAGGGGTTTGGTGGTTGCCATGGTAGTTGAGCCTGAAAAAAGCCGGTGAAAAGAGGAAGAGAACAAATTATGGAAATAAAAAATTTCAAAAATGCTGATGAGACACGGAAGAATCCATCTAGATAGAGAGAGCACCATCTTCTAGAAGCTCTGGATAGTTAACACCACAACACAACATAGACTAGAAATCCAAAGGAAGAATCACACCAACTCAAAACCAAATGCAGACAAGGAAGCATTTGTCAAGACTTCACAGCCTGAAACAAAATTTTGCCAGGCCCCCAAATTATTCTCACCAAATGAAAAGTCTCCATCCAAAGTAGTAAAAAAGCCATATAAAACAGTCAAGGTCACTAAGCGATAGCTCCTTCCACCCACCCGCTATGCAACACAACACGATTCCACTACCAGTTTCCCCTTAACACCAACTCTGGACACCAAACGCCAACGGTAGTTATTTACAGTCCCCTGCGGTGCTCCTCCGATTAGTGTTTCCCACCACCTAAGATTTGAGACATTATATGGGAATCTCATTGTTTACATCGCAGAGCTGAAGTAGGAGCCTTAGCTCCACCCTCCTGCCCTGAATGAAACTCTTCATGTTAGGAAAAAAACATTCCTCCACCGACAAACACACAACCCACCCAAAGAAAACAAGAGATTTAATGACAGACTCCAGGCGTTAAGAACCCGCAGGCTGGGAGAGTGATCCTTTTGCCCTTCTCCGGGAATCCCCACTGCCAGTCCCTGAAGCTATCACCATGGCAACCCTGCATGGCACTAAAGGTGGCCGTGAATCCCCTTAAAAGACCATGACAAACCGCCGCTGGACACCAGACCCACCAAACGCAAGACCTGCTGTCCACCCTCACTACACTCCACCGTCAAACTAGCTCCGCCTGACTCGGTCAAGACCCGGCCAAGGCGGCATTAATGGCATACAAATTGACAACCCAACTCCCCCCGTGCGCTGTAGCCGGGCCGCCACCACGGTTTCAAAACGGTCGCTCAACCCCCTCCGCGAGCCCCAGTCAACAGCTGCGCCGCAAAACAGCAGCACGCCGCGGCGGCTCGGTACTCCCCCCGCACACGGCGTCCCACAGCCCCGGGCCGCCCCCCGCAATGTCCCCTTCCCACACGCGGCTCACAGAAACGTACTTGTTGTGAGGAGTCACGTTCTGCAGCATCTTGACCGCAGGGAACCGGCGCCGCCCTCAGCCGCGGAAAGTCCGGGTGGCCTCGGTTCCCCTCACCGCCCGGTCCAGCATAACCCGGTTAAGTTGGGGGAGAGGCCGTTGCTCTTGGCCCTCCAGGCGACAAACACCCTGCCCAGTCGGCACAAAAGCAGTTTCTTCGGGGCCTCGCGGAGAGCTCCGGACAGCTTGGCGCGCTCTGCAGACGGCGGACAGCAAGAAAATGGCGGCGGCCTCAGCTGAGGCGGACGACTAAGGAGGGACTGACTCCTCAAACCAACACAGTCCCCGATCTGAAACACCGTCGTCAATATAGCCCGCTGTTGGTCTGCAGGGATTCCCTCTTCTTGTCGGGACCCTACGGGCCCGATGAGGTCCCGTTTCGATCTCGGATGGAGGCGGATGAACACGAAAAGTGGTTTAGGGAGCCGCCGCCTCCATCTTTGAAATCCTCTTGAGGGCGGAGTAGAGGGGGTGGACAGACTCCGAGAATTGGGCGGGGCCCAAAAAAGGGGAGCTTCAGGGGCTTCTATGGGGTCTGTACTGTCCGCTGGGACCGGTCATAGGCCGGGACGAATGCCATTTCCAAGCGGATGGAGGTGGATTGTAATGGCGGCCCCGGGCGACTCGAAGGCTCTGTATCGGTAGGCAGAATCCTCCAGCTCGCTCTAGAGGCTGCTCCACTCCAGCACGAAATGGCGCCGCCGAGCCCCGCGCCAGCCCTTTATATATAGGCGGAGAGGAGGAGCTTCGCCGCTCATGCGCGCCACCCTGCTCGAGATTTCCCCCACCCCCTCCGCGCGCCCGCGCTCGCTCACGCGCCTGAAGACTCTCAGTCGAAGTGGGAGGAACACCTCTCCGCGGGAGCTTTTTCTATTGGCCAGCCGCAGGGATGACGTCATAAACTTCATTTCCAAGGTGTCAGTCACCAGGCAAGAGAGTGCTGCAGAGACCCACAGGGAAGTGGCAACCCGCCACATCTCCAAGCCAATTGGCTGGGCTGTGGTTCGCCGACTCCAGGGAAAGAGGGCGGTTGGAAGGGGTGCGGAAGCCATCGCCCCAGAGCCTCCAGCACCCCCTTTCGCCTCCCCTTCCAACAAAGTCTTCCCCGGCTTCCATACACAGCGCAACTGGAGACTGCCAGGCTCGAGCAGGCCGTGCCATCCGTAGCTCCTCCATTGGCCAGACCGGCAGGGAAACGGGAGGGGTCACGTGGGCGTAGCCGGCCTGGGCGAGCCAGGGGTGTGGCCGCAAGACGCCCAGCGGGTGGTGGTTCTCGGCGGTCAGGTCGCTGCAGCGAAGAATCTGAAATGAGGAAGAAGACGCCATCTTAGAAGCCGCGGCCTGCTCCTCTACGGCGAACAGCTATACAGGCTTCAGAATGGCGACGCGGGGAATCTAACGTCCCATGCTTCGCAATCTAAAACACAGGCTTGCCAAGTCTTAAAATACTCCCCTCCCTCCCCCAAGCCAAACAATGGGAAGACAAGAGCAAAACATTGTTTACCACTCTGTTGAATCCCACAGGCCACGAAAGCTAGAATACGTCTCCCAAATTTGCACGCCCAAACGCCTTTCTAATCCCTCCCCACTCACACCTAGTCACCAACACATTTCTGCTCGTTCGAAAACCCCTCGGCAACCCTGAAGTGGGATTAAATCTCCAAACGCACCCATCTACCCTATACAACGTAACCCACCTCACCTCTTCCTCAAACTCCATTCCGGCGTCTGGCTCAGGGAAGAAAAAAGTCCTGCGAGGCGCGACTTAGGGGAAACACCCTCCCCCTCCAGGCGAGCTTGGACCTTCCCCACGCCGCGCACCATCCCCAAGGGCAGACCTGTATCCGCCTCTTAGGGTCCCTCAATCACGGGAGATAAAGAACCCCCCCGCCCCCCCACCAGGGTCCGGAGTCCTCCCCACGGAGCGGCTGGTCCATCGGTCAGCGCCAGGGAGGAGGGCGAGCGGAGGAGGCGGCGGCTGCGGCTCAGACTAGCCCTCCCCCTCCTCCCCTCCTCCCCTCCCCCCGGCCGTCCGCCTCCGAGGAGGGGCAGGAGCCATTTTGGGAGCTCAGTTTCGCCCCCTCCCCCACTTACTTTTGAGTCTTCCTCATAATTTGGTTATCTAAATAAGGGTGTAGAATAAACGAGAGCCCAAGGTCAGGATCTCCAGAGCACCTCTGGGGCCGTCCCTACCCCCTTACAAGAGAGTGAAAGGATTTTCCCCACCCGAGAAAACCTGCGCTTTGGCGGGGCGTTCCCTCTCCCGTTTCCCTTTTCTTTGCTACCAGGGAGAAAACAAACTTGTGTAGGTATCTGGGGAAAATAATCAACATAGGTGAACAAATATACCGTAAGATTCCCCCTTCCCCAGGGAAGGGCTCGTAAGGGCCTAGGTCCTTGTGCTGCAACCACGCCACCCGCCCTCCTCTGCTGTAGCCCTTCAGCTCCGACCTCGGTTACTGCGTCTAAAATGGCCGCCAATCTCCCGTTTTCCTGACGCCCTGAGTAGAGCAAACCCCGGGAGGGCGGGAGAAAATGAGCAGCGGGAGAGCAGAGTCCCCTTCCCCCAGCCAGGGACCAGGCCCTGGCCCCCAAAAGTACACGCGGCCCCGTCTGGGTAGCTGCAGCGGGGGAGGGGGACAATGACACAGCAACTTTGTAGAGGCCCTCTCCCCTCCCCCTAGTGGCCCAACCTCCCAAATCTACTTTTCTCCACCGAGGCTCTGCAGGTCAGGACAGAGGCCCGTCAGGGGGCCGGCCATGCAAGAAAAGCTTAGGAGGCTGAGAAAATACTGGGCCTTAGAAAGGAAAAGGGCAGCCAGACATTGCTCTCGCTTATTCTCTGCATTCCAGAAAATCACTGCCTCCCGATCCCTCTTTATCCTCCCTTCCCCCACATGAGTCACCAGGGAGGCTACTGCTGCTCAGTAATTTGGGAAAGTAACTCTTGCCTCCTTTCCGTTCCCTCCCCCGCAGTACACAAAGAGAGAACTGTTCAGGGCTGGGGGAGGGGATGAGGGAGGCGATGGAAGAGGCCACCCTGGAGAAACCCGAAACCTTGGGAGCTGTGAAATCATTCCAGGTCCTAAGCCTCCCTCGCATCTCAGGCCATGCCTTCTTGACCCCCTACTGCCAGCACCCACCTTGGGCCTGGTTTCTGTTCCTAAGCAGACCTCAAGCTTGTAGCCTGTAAGTCCCCCAGCCTGGAGTAGACACGTGCTCAGGAAAGACCCTACAAGGGCAGAAGGCCCCACAGGTCGTGTCCACGTGAATGCACACAAATTCGATAAGCGACGCGAAACGTAACCTCCAACCTGGCGTGTGACGACTGGAGCCCCCCTACCGCGGACAGAAAGGGCGCACAGCAAGGCTCCCTCCAGAGACTCTGGGGAGAAAGCAAGTTGGCGCCTGGGAACCACCTCAGTTCACAACCTAGGTGGCCAACTCCTAAAGCATTCACATCCACGGGTAGGGGCCACAGCCACCACTCCACTCCTCAGCCCACCGCCAGGTCACCCCTACCTCGGCCGCCGAAGGATCCCTTCTCACCTGGCTCCTGGCTGCTGTACCCCCAGGGGCGAATGGAATGGGGGGCACGCCGCCCCCTCACCCCTTTGCCCTCCAACTGGTATGGAGGAATGAGGCTGGCCATTCCCCTCCCCCACCCCCGTGGCCCTCTCCCGCTCGCCCCCTTCCACGCTCCCATTGGCTGTAAAAGGTTTGAAGGACAAATCTTTCCACTCTCAGGATTCTTTTCTGAACCCCAAGAATCCCCCTCCCGGACTCCCCACCATTGGTTAAGCACTTAAGTGACTGACAACATCTCCGCCCCACAAGGGCCCATTCTCACCTGGATCCTAAAGCCTTCCAGGGGGCCTCCAAAGTTGCCCTCGGCTTGGTACGGGGTATGTAATCCGGGGTGTCAACCCCCCCCGGAAAACGAAGCCTTGTTGGGGGAGGGGGCGTAGCCCCCAGCCCCTCCCTTCCCGACCGGGCTGGGGGTTGGGGAGACATTGGGGCCGCGCCGCCACGTCAGCAGCACCCAGATTGGCTGACCGGGGTCACGTGCCCGCTGTCCCCCCCCCATCTCCCCCAGCCACGAGGACCAGTTTTCCAAACGTTCCTGGGGGTCGCGCAAGGGGCCAAGGGGTCCGCATGGCCCAAGCCTATGTTCTGAAACCCAGAGCGCTATAATGCTGCTGCTTTTCCAAATCCCTAGCTTCCTATCCCGCGGTCGTCGACTCTGTCCCCCCCCTCGCCTCTCGGTACTGGTTCAGCATGGCCGCCGCAGCCCAGGAACACACATAGCGCAGGCGCAAGGGTGCGTTCTGACTGGGGGAGGGGAAAAGCGTGCCGGAGGCCGCGGGGAGAGCCGTAGAGCGCATGCGTCCAGGCCAGGACCACAGGTCGGGCGACTGAGCTCCGAGCTCGCTCAGTTGGTGGGGCGGGAGCCCGCGCCCGGCGGCCGGCGCCCGGCGCCGACTTCCTGCCTCAATGCCCCCTCCCCCACTACCCGCGGCCTAGCGAGACAGCCCCGGGCGCTCAGGCTTGTTTCATCCTCGGTAGCTGTAAGGTGCTGCTTGGCTGATCCTGGCCGGAATCCAGTGGAAGCGCGCGCCGCTGAGCCCCTGTCAGCGGAGGAGAATGGGGCCTGGACCTGCAGATATGAGGGTCTGCAGAGAGGGGCCCCTTCCCTGGTGTCCTATGGTGTGCGATCACTGGGAGAGGGAGTTTCTCGCCCTCGTCGCGCCTGCAGCGCGGGGAGATGAGATTTGGATTTCGTTTTCGGCTTAGTCTTAGCCTGTTAACCTCTCCGTTCCCTGAACCTGTGCCAAACTTTAATTTAGTGAAACCTGTGAATCACTGGACAACTCTTCTTTCTACGGTATTTACCAGCTAATTACTTTTCCTTCTCTATTGATCTCGTGGTGGACCGTTTAAACCTCTTGTACTCCTAAAGTTTTGACCTCTACTCTCTCAGTTTTGAATGAATCCCCCCAAAATTTTGGAATTGGTAACGTAAAATGTTAACGGTGGTTCGATTGCCAGCTAAAACGTAAGCCTTTAATTTGTCATTAGCCGATAACCGCTCCCTTGATTCCCCAGAGTATGGTCCACATTTTCACGCTGTAGACCCTAATCTCTCCCCACCGGCAGATGACACCTCACAGAACAGAAACGCCAACTTGCAGAACACGTGGCCTCCCATTTCCCACCTGCAAACTGGGTCAAGTGTGTATTCCTTTCCCATTTCACTAGAGATCCTCTCTTCGGTTTAAGGAAATCCTTTATTATTGACCTGGTCAACCTTCTCTATTGCCCAGAGCCTGTCTTTCCTTCTCCGCCCTTTGACCTTTTTAACTTTTGGTTTCCCGGCTAACAGAAAGCATAACCCTCTCAATGTCACGCCCTCTTCGAGACTCGTTTACCTTTCAGCTCCCTTGCACAGCCAAGACCTGAAATTGAGATTATCCTTACCATCTAAATTCTTTCTCACCCTCTCTCTCCCCATCCCCACTCTTCAAGCTACCTCTGCCAGGCTCCTACCACCAAAACTTTTCTGGCAAATCTCACCAAGAACCGCCTAATTGGCAAAGTCAGGAAGCACTTTTCAGTTCTCACCTTATTTGACCTCTGAAGCATTTCACATTTGATCATGTTTCCTTCCTGACATTCTCTCTACCCTTGATTTCTATGATCACGCTCACTTGTTTCTTTTCCTGTTTGTCTAACTGTACCTCTCCAGTCTCAGAGGATTTTTCTTCTTAGCCCCTTTTCGTGTGTTGATGTTTGCTATGATTATGCCTGTTTGCTTCTAGTTCTATTAAACTTCTCTAGGTAATCTGACTCTATGGCTCAAAGCCTCTCAAGTCTGTATCTTTAGTTCAGACAGCTCTCTCAGCTAAACTTCCTACTAAATATTCCTACTTTAATAACTCTCAGACACCAGTATGTTCATAATTGATGCAGTCTCTAGACACTCTAGACCTGTTCTTTCTTTTCTGTTATCCTGAGTAATGGTGGCTATTTAGTCACAAAGCGTGTAATCTGGGAGCCCATTCTTGATTTCCTTTTCTCTCACCTTTACATCCTTTTCTCACACCTTTTCAGACTCACGATTTTGCCTCTTAACTATCCATCAACTCACTCATCTGTCCTAGTTCTATCACCTGAGCTATACCAACAGTCTCCTTAATTATTTCCTAGACACATGGCTATCTGGATTTAAATTAACACAATTTTAAATTTAGTTCCTCAGTACACTAGCCACATTTTAAGTTCTCAATAGCCACCTGTGACTAGTGGCTGTCATAGGGGAAAGCACAGATTATTGGACATTTGTGTCATTGCAAGAAGTTTTTTTTTTTCCTTCCATTTCCCCTAACCCCTCCACCCCCACCCCCATTCAGGAGGTGGAGTCTTGGTCTGTCACTCAGGCTGGAGTGCAGAGGCTCGGTCTCGGCTCACTGCAACCTCCGCCTCTCAGGTTCAAGCAATTTTTCTGCCTCAGCCTCCTGAGTAACTGGGATTATGGGCACCTGCCACCACACCAGGCTAAATTTTGTTTTTTTAGTAGAGAACAGGGTTTCACCATGTGGGTCAGGCTGGTCTGGAACTCCTGACCTCGTGATCTGCCCATCTCAGTTTCCCAAAGTGCTGGGATTACAGGTGTGAGCCCCCATGCCTGGCCTCATTGCAAGTTCTGGTGGGCAATGCTGCTTTAGACTTTCCTCTCTGCCTCTGCCATGATACTGCCAGGAGAGAGCTTTCCAAAATATAGCCCTGGCCGTATCTCTTTTTTAAATTCTATGTTAATTCCTCATTGACTATGCGATAAAGTCCAAATTCCTATGTTTGCCAGAACAGGCTGCCTAGCTTTTGAGCCTCATGTCTAGCCACTTCCTCTTGGGCCCTATATTCCAGCTATATTGAACTGTTTCCCAGACACATCATTTCGTTTCACGCCTCTGTGTTTTACACATGTACGCTTTGTATATGGAGTAGG